GGGGACAAATGCATTGGCCCAATGGACACTGAAACCCACCTCAGGTATGGTGGGACTGAGTCTGATATACAGGCTTTCATATGAACATTTCTGATTTTTAACCTGAAGAAGAGACAGCCAAGGCACAATAACTGTCATTAAATATTTAAAAGGAGAACTTATAGAAATGGAATTAATTGTATTTTATAGGGCTCCAGAAGATAAACGTAAAGATTAAAAAAAAACCAACTCACAAATACATCAATTATCCCATCTGTCCATCCACTTAACCATGCACCTGTTCATCCAGCCATCCAGCCATTCTTTAACTTACACCGAAACTGGTTTCAAGTCATTTACAAAAAGGACACACAAAAAAGACTCCCAAAAAGTAAATGAAGAAACCAAGGCAAATAGGATAAGAAGAGTTGGAAAATAAGGCTATTCCTTAGTTCTGGGCTTTTTTAGCAGGAAATACAAAGAAAGAAACAGATCAGTTAAAAGATTCTGGTTTGTAGACCAGTTGCTTCAGAGCACCAATCTTCCTGGCCCTGAGATCTGGCAGACACCTGTCCTGTGTGTCTCATAAAGAGGACACTGTCATGTCAAGCCTAACACATCTGACCACCTTTACACCAACTATGTTCCATGGGGCTCCTAAACATGACAGCCTCAGTGCAGGCCAATGGCATCCAAGTGCAGCTCACTACAACTTTTCAAGGGGTCTGAATAAAGTAGTACAGGAACTCAATTCCTGATGCTTTGGTCCAATCCCAAAACAGGTGATAGTCTAGACCAGTGGTTGGCAAACTCATTAGTCAACCGAGCCAAATATCAACAGTACAACGATTGAAATTTCTTTTGAGAGCCAAATTTTTTAAACTTAAACTATTTAGGTAGGTACATTGTTATTAACTTAATTAGGGTACTCCTAAGGCTTAGGAAGAGCCACACTCAAGGGGCCAAAGAGCCGCATGTGGCTCGCGAGCCGCAGTTTGCCGACCACAGGTCGAACGACCCTTTCACAGGGGTCGCCTAAATACATCCTGCATATCAGATATTTACATTACGATTCATAACAGTAGCAAAATTACAGTTATGAAGTAGCAACGAAAATAATTTTATGGTTGGGGGTCACCACAACATGAAGAACTATACTAAAGGGTCGAGGCATTAGGAAGATTGAGAACCACTGGTCTAGAGGAACGAGTGACTACATAATTTGTAAATTATTCTCCTAAAATGCTATTTCTCTCAGACCTTTTATAAGCCATCTTGTTGCTTTTATAAATTACAAACATATATTCAAACACACATAGACCCTAAAGATTTCTACAAAAAAAACAAAACAGAATAAGTGAACACACTCAAGTCTCAGGACACAATATCAATATACAATAATCAATTGCATAAAAAATAATAAAATGCATAGGCATAAATTTAACCAAAGAAATGAAAGACCTGTACATTTGAGTTGGTCTTAAAAATTCTCATCACACAAAAAAAATTATAACTATGTGTGGTGACAGATGTTAACTGGACTTATTGTGGTGATCATTTTATAATATATACAAATATAAAATCATCATGTTGTACACAGAAAACTAATATATTGTTATACGCCAATGATATCTCAATTTTAAGAAAACCTGCCCAGCCTGTGTGGTTCAATGGTTGAACATCAACCTATGAACTAGGAGGTCACGGTTCGATTCCCAGTCAGGGCACATGCCTGGGTTGTGAGCTTGATCCCCCCTTGCGGGCATTGATGTTTCTTCTCTCTCTCTCTCTCTCTCTCTCTCTCTCTCTCTCTCTCTCTCTTCCTCTCTGAAATAAATTAAAAATAAATAAATAAATACATAAATAAAGGCACCTCCCAAGCTGGGGGTACTATAGATTCTGGGACCAAGTTGTCAAGGCTCATGACCCCACATTTACTGCTTATTGGGGCTGATTCCAGTTGACCTGCCTGACCTCTCTATGCCTCAATTTCTTCTGAAAAGGAAACTAAAAGCAGTACTGAGAGGGTAAAGCTCTTAGAGCCTGGCACCCATTTAAGGTGGTTGGCATTGTCACTGCAAATGGATTCGGGAGAGAGGAGGGGTCAAAGCTATCTTTGAGGCCATAAAAAGTTTTCTGCATTGACCTTTGAGGAACTCCTATGTTCCAGAATGTGTCAGAAGCAGACCTTTAGTTGTTATCAAAAGCCCTAAGTGTGCATAGCCTTGATTCAGCAGTTAAATCCCAACTAGAAATCTATCCCATGGAAATAACCAGGTCCTATGCAAAGATCTGATTACAGGGAAACCCGCTGAAGCCCTGGTATAAATTATCCCATGTTAATAAAGAAATTCTGTTCTATCCATACAAAGAGGGATTCTGCAGCGTTTAAACTATGACAAAGCATCTGTTGGGGGATGGAAGTGGCCAGGGAGAGGTCATTGGGGAATGTAATACTTTAAACAATAAATAAATTTTAAAAAACAGCTATCAACATGGAAATATGGTTATGATTTAATATATCTTTGAGGGAAAGAGCCAGTAATAAAACCATATTACAATATAAACACACGCACAAGAAAATTCAGTTTTTAAATCCACCTTTTATGCCACTGTACTGAAATACTCCAACAAATGTATAAAAACCGTCTCGTATTTTTTTTCTTAAATTTTTAATTACTTAGGTAACAACACATACATCTTCCTATTTAAAAAAGAAAGGAAAATATTATTTTAAAAAGTCCCCTCTTAACACCTGACCCTCAATCCCTGCCCACTCCTCCAACTTGAGAGTTAACCACTGTGTGGTATCCTTCTAGAATAGTCTCTATATTATTGTTGCATATAGATGTATCCGCAGTAAACATATATGTATAGTTCAGGTTTGCACCTAAGGCTTTTGTTTCTGTACAATCTTATCACACGTGTAACTTTAACCACCACCACAATCAAGACAGGGAGCTGTCCCATCACCAAGAGCTGCTCCTGCCTCTGTATAGCCTTAAAGCCACAGCCACCCTCTCCCTCTCACTAGTCCCTAACCCCTGGCAACTGCTCTCCATCTCTGTATTTTATTTCAAGAATTTAATCCTCTGGCACATTATAAATATTAATCTCTATGAAAGTACCCTCTAGCACAGTGGTTCTCAACCTTCTGGCCCTTTAAATACAGTTCCTCATGTTGTGACCCAACCATAAAATTATTTTCGTTGCTACTTCAGAACTGTAATGTTGCTACTGTTATGAATCATAAATATCTGATATGCAGGATGGTCTTAGGCGACCCCTGTGAAAGGGTCGTTTGACCGCCAAAGGGGTCGCAACCCACAGGTTGAGAACCGTTGCTAGCACAAGCATGTCAAACTCAAAGGCCAACATGGGCCAAATAAACAAGGTTTAAGTTTATGTGGGTCGCAAAAAAACAAAAGCTTCAATCTTCATAGAAACATAGGTTTATTTCTATAGAGACATGCTGAATACAAAGGACTGAAATAAATGATTAATCGTTAACGTAAGATAATAGAACATTTAAAGAAAAATTAATATTTTTTCTTGAACATTAACTTACCTGACACTGAATAACTGTACAAATTAATAAGAGTAAAGCAAATAAACCTTTTTTTTTGTTCTCTGAAAGCGAAATATTTCCTGTTGCGCACACCAAGCAAGTCAGTCCAAGACTAATGACATGGCAATCGGCTGCTAAAATATTCGCTGCTGGTATTAGTGGAGAGAAATGGTGAGCTTGTGCTTAAGACGCAAAAGGGAAATGAATACAACACGATTATAGTGATCAGTCATTAGCGAACGTTGTAGTTCATTATTAATAATTATGCATAACAGGATATTGTAAAAATTAAGTTATGAAATTTTTATTAAAACGTTTCTTACATATTGTTATATTGGCTGGGCCACAAAAATATTCGTGTGGTCCACATGTGGCCCACGAGCTGCGAGTTTGACATGCTTGCTCTAGCACTTAATGCTAGACGTGAACTGTCTTGGCTCACAAATCTAGTTTATTATTTTTGTGTAGAAGTAAACATTATTTGTCACTAGCTCTCTGGTACAGTCCCAGTTGACTTTAGAAAAAGAAAATATACTTTAGGACCTAAAGTTTAGGTAGAGGTTTTATTGCTCCTGAAGTCATTTTAAACTCTCTATTTTGGTGATAATATTTCCCAAATAGAGATAGGCTCACAGCCACTTGATTTACTTCCACAGATTTATAAAGTGCTTTTCAATTAAAAAATTTAATATGAACACTGCTTTACAGTGGGAGAGTATCAAGATTATTTTCGGTAATCTAGGACTTCTGGAAACATCTGAAAAATTGAATTGCTCTAAATTGTTTTGAAATGGTCTATTTCAGAAATCTCTACAGTTAAAAAGTTATGCACAGTGCATGGTGAGCACACGATCCACTGGGTCACAAGTGGCCAGGAGTGATGTCCAACAGCTCAAGTCAAGTTGTAGGGAAAGAGTAGCTTCAGAGTAAAGCAGGCAAAACGAAAAATGAGCTTGTGTCTCCCCACCTGCCCCTACAGACCTCTCCTTTCTCCTAGATCTTCCCAAACAGGAATTCTGTACTCATTAAACAATAACTCCCCCATTTTCCCTTCCCTAGCCCCTGGCAACCAGCATTCTCATTTCTGTCTCAATGAACTTGCCTATTTTAGGTAGCTCCGATAAGTGGGGTCATACACTTGTGGGGTCATATCCTTATTTCACTTAGGATAATACTTTCGAGGTTCATCCATGTTGTATGTAGCATATGCCAGAATGTCACTCCTTTTTAAGGCTGAATAATATTCCACTATGCATATATACATTTGTTTATCCATTCATTTGTTATCCATTCATCTTTTTGTTCACCTTTTTACTACTGTGAATAATGCTATGAACATTGTTATATAAGTATATGTATTGTTGTACATTTTCATAAATCCATCCTCCTGTATTTTTGTTGTATAAATAAACTTTTAGAGTAGAGGTCGAACAGAAATTAATGATAACATACATTTTTAGAAATACAATATTTTATTATCAGCATTAATATTTGTTCATGTTGAAGATTCAGGAATAAAATAATGGACAAAAACCTGGAATGTAAGCAACACTACATAGGAATATCATAAATAAATAGGAATGGTTTACGAATTATTAGACTAAAAAATATAAAAGATGAAATTACATCAATTATTGTGTTTAGTGTTTCTGAATATACTTTTAGCATTAAATACACAGCAAGTGCTCATATTTAAAGATTCTACCTTTCTCTTTAGCGAAGAACACATGCTTTCCCTTGGTTCACCAGAATTCGTTTCAGAAGGTAAAACTTCTTAAAGGTAAGCATGGCATTTAGTGCTTTGGCCCTATAATCGTGCTGGACTGGCTGCTTGATGATCGCTCTCGTTCTTTACTAATTTCCATCTCAATTTTGATTTTGATTTTCTCCCAATCTATTTGGAGCTGCAGTAGAAAAAAAGACATTTTTGTTTAATCCAAAGAAACCCAGAATAAACAAAAATAGAAGGCATGACTTCTAAAACATTAGAGTAAAAGGGCATGAAAGAAAAGTTCAGAAAAACTAATGCTAAAAAAAGATATAGTTTTAAGAATAAGACCAACCATAACAATAAGCACAATAAAAAGCAAATACTTCTCATTGTGATTCAAAAGACCAAAATCTTGTTGTAGAAGCTTATAAAAGGCACATCCAAACAGTGCCCTGGAGCCTCCGGATTCTGTGCAGGTATCTCAGGACACACGGGAGAATGTGGACTGCTCTCCACCAAGCCTGTTACAAATGGCTCAGCTCTTCACTGCTTATATTCTGAGGTTTACATTAGAGGCCTAGCTATGAGGAAAGACAGGACAGCATTTGCTTCCCTTGAGCATACTCTGCAAAAATGGCTTCTTAAAGTAATATAAAATTACTAGAGGCCCGGTGCATGAATTCATGCACGGGTGAGGTCCCTCTGCCTGGCCGGCAATTGGGGCCATCTTTCCCAGTCCCGATCAGGACTGGCCGGACAGGGGGAGGGACCACAGGAGGTTGGCTGGCTGGCTGGGGGCAGGGCCATGGGCAGTTGGCCCACCAGCCTGCCCCCTGGTAGAACTCCGGGTGGAGGGGACAATTTGCATATTAGCCTTTTATTATATAGGACTAGAGGCCCGGTGCACAAAAATTTGTACACTGGGGGGGGGGGGGTCCCTCAGCCCAGCCTATGCCCTCTTGCAGTCTGGGACCTCTTGGAGGATGTCCACCTGCTGGCTTAGGCGCTGCGCCCTGGGGGATCAGGCCCAAGCTGGCAGTCAG